CAGAAAGAGAGAGGGTGACCAAAGTTGCCTCTTTGAGAGGGAGACGGAAAAGGAAAAGACTCAGACTGAAATCAGGAAGGAAGATCTGCTTGTCTCAGCAGACAGGGGAGGGAGTGGGCATGCTTTGTCTCCTAAAGAGATAGAACAGATCATTGCACTGCTTGGCCATGGTTTTAAGGAGGTATTATTGGGACCTAAGAACCATTTTAGTTAATAAATGCATCAATTGACAACTCTGGACCTATTTTTCTAGTATGTCAACAGGTTTTACAGTTAGTTATCTTGTCCCCCATGCCAGGAAGATCCCCCTTTCAACCTATTCTGGGCAGGTAGCATGGAATGACATGTTCCTTTCCGCAACTAATTCAAGCTGATATTGGGGTGTTGTTATCAGCGCCTGAGTAGGTTGAAAGGCTAGCCAAAGGTAGGGAGGGAATTCAGGCAATGGGGCACTCATCAGACTTCATTGAAGGGACAGAGAGCGTTCATATGTGCTGGACTGGTCCACATCAGCTTTCAGGAAGTTCAAGACTTGCTGCCATTCAGAGAAGGTTTGTCATCAGCAACTGATGCTTAGATGCATCTGCCAGCCAAGCGGAAGCCTATTGAGATGAGTTTAAACTAGGAACAGAAGCCAAAATTTGTGTACTTAAAGAAAAAAATCATATTGTAGAAAAAGAGCAGATAACAGGTATCTGTAAACAGAAGGAATAGACTCATAACTTTGAGTCCTAGCAAAAACTACAGACTTTGGTTAGAAGCATGTATGTATTTTTTTTCTGTTCAGAGTGTAGGCCCATATTTCTATTTGGTATGGCAGCCAGGCTCTAAAGCAATAGAAGTATCTGAGGATGGTCATGTAGCCTTCCAGACAGGCTGTTTGCTACCTAACAAAAAGTCAGGATATTGTTTTGCTTCTTTCTTTGTAATTTGGAAGATGCCTGATAGAGATGCTGATTTAGCCTACATGACAGGTATCATACAGAGCACATACGTAGTTGTGGACAGAAAAAAAACCATTCACTGGTTACCTAGGAGACAGAATGCTGGTGTATTTCCCACTCAGTTTATGTTTTGGTATGAAAGACTGTTTGGAGAACAAATGAGAGGAATTCTTCAGGATGTGAACTCAGGACTTCATGAGGTATCACTGAGAATTTCCCTCCCAATAAAACCATGTGAGTTGTGTCTTTATTTTCACACCTCCACACCAGTCCAGAGAAATAGTTTATGTTGGGGTCTGGTGAAGAGAAATAATTTAGAGTCGGGCTAGCACTGAATCACGACACCAGAGAACCATGTATGTTTTGGACAGAAATGCTTTTGGCCTGATAAGAAACACCTTTAGTTTGTATCTAAATGGCAACTAGAATAAATCTAAAATCTTGAGCTTGTGACCCAAACAGTAAGTAGCCATTGCTCTATCAGCTTATTAGAACTATACTATAGAGGGGGGAAGAAAAAACATTTTCCATATCTTAACCTGTGTTTACATCTTAAGTCATTTTTTGACCCACAAAGATAAAGAAATTTTATATTCTCAGACCTTAAAACATAGTATCTTTAGAATGAGCTGACAAGCTGTCTATTGCTTTGTGGAAGGATCTGGATACCTTTTGCTGCTAAACTGACATTATAACTGCCCTAGCCATCAACACTATCAGAGATCCCAGAAGGATAAGTAAAGTATATCTGAGTGCAGATCAAATAGTTTCCAAATCTATTAAAATTGACAGGGACCAGAGTCCATATACAGTTAGTCATACCCAGGTCTCCATAACATTGGAGGCAGAAATATCCAGAACAGTCTTAGCCAATAAGGTGAAAAAAATTTTTTTTTCCTGTAGAAGGGGGACATGGAAAAGATTGACCTAACATGTCATTCCATGCTCCCTGCCCAGAATAGGTTGAAAGGGTAAGACAAGCAGAAATTCTCTGACACGAAGGGCAAAATAACTACCTATAGTGTCTGCTGATATGCCAGAAAAATAGGCCCAGAGTTATTAACTATTAATGGATTTGTTAACTAAAATAGTTCTTAAGTCCCAATAATACCTCCTTAAAACCATGGGCAAGCAGGACCGATGACTGGGTCCTATCATTGGTGCTTGTGAAGGAGAAGTGTAGGACTCAGCAAGCCATGATAAGCTTATTAGGAGCAGACCACCCAAAGGAAGTTCTTAACTTCCAGCCATTATCACCTGACAGTGTAGGACCCAGGCTGAGTTTAATGGAGGCCTGAGTCTCAGTAGTTTACCCTGAAGCAATGCCTGGTTGCAGGAAGGGCCACAAACTGAGATCACCTAGGCACCACCCAAGAACAGACCATCCCCCAAGAAAATTCCTAACATTCCAACCATTGTAGATAGGATCACCTTCCAGCATACACTCACCAGGACACCCCTAGACAAATGCCAGCCAATCAAGGGTCCTGAACCTTAGATATCCCTAACCCCCAGCTTTACTATTATAAAAACCCACTCTAGCTGAGCTTGGGGCACTCAGATTATTCCAATACGTTGGACACATGGAGAGACCAAGTTTGCAAGCTTATATAAAATAAAGACTCTTTGCTTTTACATAGGGGACTCGACCACCTTGTTGGTTTTTGGGTATCTGGGCATAACAAACACCATGCATCCTGGTTCTGTTTGTGTGTTCATCCTGTCTGCTTGAGAACAGAGAGGTCTGAGTCTTTGAAGGATGTGTCCCATACTCACTTGTAGATACTTGAAAAGAAGGTATGGGAAGAGGGAGCCACAAGTAAAGGCAGAGCACCAGCCTCCCTGCCAGCAGAGCTCAGGAGGATGTGTCTGTCCTGCCAGAAAGCAAAGTCTAAAACACACAGGGAAAGAGTTTGCCTCTCAGAATCCCATTCCCTAACAGCTTCTTTGTGTGAAGGGTAGAAAGAATGTCAGTGCATTCCAGTCTCAACAGTACTGCCCCTTTATTCTCCTAGTACTAAATTTCTATACCAAGTGCTAAAAGGGGCTGGAGCTATAGTTCAACTCGTTAAGAGCACTTACTGGCTCCCAATTTCAAGGTTTTTTTTACTGGTATATCATCTCTGCAACCACAATCATATCATTTATTTTTCCAGATGGTGTGGAGTATTTTGACTGTCTTGCTAGCATGAAACTCAATGTTTTGAGGTTGCAGTGTTAGCACCTTCGATCCTTTAGTCTCTACATACAGCAAAGACAGGAAATCAATTTAGCATTTTTATTACATTTTTAATAAGAAGTATTATTTTACACATTAAATGCATGCTTATTTCTATCTGACAAGTTTCAAAAGCAATTTAATTGTCAAACTAAGATTGTTTAAAACATTGAAAAATAAACTTCAATTGCTCTTTAGACAGTAGACAGTTACCTGCTTTCTTATAAATGTAAGAAAAAATGGTCTGTACAATCACATAAAAACCTGGGTAGAGGGGGATGAAGGCATTAAAAAAAAGCAAGCTGTTTTTCTTACACTTTAAAATAGCACAATTTTCACCTTATACATATAAGGAAAGAATAATATGTGATGCTATGGGGGAAAATGACAATTTCAAAAGTCTACCAAGAAAATGACTCTCAGGGCAAAATGAAAACATGAAAAATGTAAAATCAAATCAGAATCTTAGATATATATGTAACTGAAGACCTTAGCATTGCTGGAGAAGGGCTAAGCGTTTTCTCGTGGAGCCTGTGTCTGGTCGGCACAGCAGTTCTGGCCCGTTCAAAGACTCCCCACATGTAGCCCAAGCTGGCCTCAAGCTTCTCACATAACTACAGAGAACCTCGAACTTTCTTGATCCTCCTGCTACACTTCTCAAGTGCTGAAACTGTGTTTGTTTTATGCAGCACTTGGAATCAAATGCTGGGCTTCGCTCTTGCCTGGCGAGCATGAAGCTGACTGATCTATACCCTCCTCGTAACCTTCTTACCTGCCACTGCATTCCAAATAAGAAATGGCTTGCCTGATGCTTCACCAAACTAAACGGCAGCTATATGGTCTTCAGAGCAAGGAGAAAATGCAGGGTGAGACCTGGGGAAATGCGAAGAGCTTATGATGCCACCTTGGCTGTTCGTGGGCCTCTTGGCATCACTTCCCTCCTGGCCTGCTTGTTTGTCTCTGAACACCAAAATGCTCCATCGGTTTGTCCTCCCTAAGTGAGAGTTTGATCTCCTTCTTCCATGAATCCTAACTCCTGTCATGAGAAACTCCCCCTAACAAAGCAAACTGATAGAAACCTCACTCACACTGAAGGATGATTGAGTTTCTGGATGATTTGCCACCTAGGTGGATCTGCTGGAGTTCATTCAAGCAGCTTTGGCAGACAGGGAAAGGAATCCAAGAGGCCTGGGCTTCTGGACTGGCGTCAGTCCACTCCCAAAGTCTCCCAACTTAAGGTTAAGACCAGTTTGCTCTGCATCAAGAACAAGAGTGGTTCCATCTGCCTGTAGTTGTACTATACAGAGACTTGGCAGAAGGCTTGTGAGTTTGAGGCCAGTCCGGCTTATGAAGAGCTACCCCCAAAAAACAAAATGAAGAGAAGGAAGAGAGAAAAAAGGAAGAAACCAAAAAAAAAAGGGTGATGGAGGATGTATGTAACTTCAGCAAAGATCAGCCCTATGACCCAGGAAAGCCACGCCGTTTCTGTCAACACCCCACCAGCAAGCTGTGGGTCCCAGCAGTAGGGGACAGAGGGGCAGCTTCTAATATTTGTGTGTACAAGTCTTTATATATCCTGCAAAGGGAATCCATTATTCCATGTGCCTATTTTCTTTCCCACCAAAAGTAGAATCTATATTTCTTTTTTTTTTTAAATATTTATTTATTATGTATACAATAGTCTGCCTGTGTGTATACCCGCAGGCCAGAAGAGGGCACCAGACCCCATTATGAGATGGTTGTGAGCCACCATGTGGTTGCTGGGAATTGAACTCAGGACCTTTGGAAGAACAGGCAGTGCTCTTAACCTCTGAGCCATCTCTCCAGCCCCCTAGAATCTATATTTCTGAATTTAAACAAATTGCACAGGCAGGCCTGGGCTGACACATTCAGGCAGGAGGAAGTCTGCCCCTTTAAAACCCCGATTTCCTGTTACAAGATGAGCCACATCCAGTCTTGTCTTCAATCGTTGCCATTTTCCTCTTTGTTTACACCGCATTTTAAATGCTGCTCTGCTGTGCACTTTTGTAGAAATACCCACTGGCCTCAGACTACGCTGAAATAAAGGAACTGCCGCACAATAGACTAGTTTGCCAAGTTTTGTTTCCAAAGTCCAGTAAAGTATTTGATAATGAAATCGGAGAGAGGCAGGTGCTAGATCATCAGCTTTGTAAAAGTTTTACTGTAATTTAGTATTAATTATTTCTGTTCTAAAACATTCTTCAAATAGTGTGGCTTGATGTTTTGCTCATTTCTTAAGTCATTTTTATGAGTGTGTGGTGCTGCAATATTGGCATAACTTAGCTGTTTTTAGACTACTGTTTTACTCAATTCATTTGTTAGGTAAATACCTTCAGGGCAGGGTGGGTCCTTTACAGACCTAAGCTAACTCCAGTACTGCAACATGAGCTTTGCTGGTTCTCTATTTTAATACCTGTGCTTTTAGAAAAGCAGTCAGCAACAAACCACTTTAACAATACAAATTACTAGGGGGAAGACTGTAAAATGTAGAAAAATTCATTATATGTGCACACACTCCTTGGCTGACGATGCAGCTGTATCGTAGTATTGTAGGAACTCTCAGTGGAGATGTGCGCACAGTGGACTGCAAGGGTCAGGACCTGTGGCAGACTGGGAACTGCAGCTCACTGCCCTGTTGAGCGGGGCAGGAAGATTAAACACAGCACACAGCCAGTCTAAAAACAATCAGAATTCCTCAAACAGTTTCTCCTGAATATGTGTCAATTTCACACTAAAGTCAAAATATCACAAGCCAGCATAACTCCAGAGCATTTTGTGTGAGTAAAACCTCTATTTTACAGTCTCTTCTTCGTTTCAAATGTCGGGGACAACTGCGGGGGACAACTGTGGAGGCCGTGTCTGATTGTAACCCAGTGGCATTATCTCTTTGTGCACGTTTCTGCCAATGTAAGAAATTTGGGTTCCAAGTTGTTTAAAAAGTCCAGTCCCTCTTCTTCCTGCTTTTCGCTGCAGCAGCCTACAGAACCTGCTGGAGATCCCCTGCCTTCATAGTTGTAGGTGAGGACGTAGTCTTGGGATGGGATATGGTCTTCATTCTGATTACACGCGTGCAATTTCTGTAAAGTCCAAAAAACAGGATTGTATTATTTCTTTAAACAACTTCAATTATGAACAGAAAAATTATTTTATTTACCTTTTATGTTTAATTTTTAACCAGTGTGTCCTCTAATGGAGTCCTACACACAAAAAATGCACATGATTGGTCTATATTACAGCCATATCATAAATCAGTATAATTTGCATTTTTAATAACCCCCCAAAATAAAAAAACCAGGTTTGCAACTGTTATATCTACATACATTTAAGTCATCATGAGATATTGATCCCCAGATGTTATGTGTCTATAGCTGAGGTCAGTTCACGAAATGGAGACAATATGCCGAGTGGTTGGAATTTGGATGTGGCTATGAAATGGTCCTAGTTTTGAGTAACTTTAGTTTACTAACTTGTGTCGCTTTAAATTACATTCTCCTCCAATGTCACTTTGTTATTTTGAAATCTACTGATGGAAATGCAATACTTGAAAGCCTGCTTCTTATGGCCAGCAGTGTACAGTGGATATAAACCAAACCTCTATTGTGTGCAATGATTAAATACACTTAAAAAATTACTGCACTCCAAAGTAGCCAAAATCCAGAGATATATCCCCAGAAAAATCACTAATAAAAGCATCAGCTTAACGCACACTGCAGAAACCATGCTTTCTCTATAAAGCAGCCAGGCTTTTGGGCAGATACACTGAGGCAGGCACACCTCTGCACTCGGTGCAGGGTCCCGCTGGCCTGTCTTCCAAATGGCAAGGCTCCCTCTGCTGACCTGCTAGAGCAGTCCTCTCATAGCCCTCAGCTCTGCCACCCACACCTCCCATTACAGGGTGTCCCTAAGGGAGTATCTGGTCTGTCCCTTAGCATGATTGTACGTGAATGCAGGCTGCAAATATAAACCATGAAACCATTAAAATAGGACTAAATAAAAACAAAACAAATGCTGCGGACATACAGTAAGAGAGCCCTCTTCTAGAACATTGTTTGTGTTCTGTCCATCCCAGCACTAAAGGCGTCTGGTACAGTGTTTGCTCCAAAGACACCAGTGCCACTGTTAAAGGCATGGAATCAGTGCCAGCAAGAATGCTCAAACAGGATCCCCTACCCTGGCCCCACATACAAATCAGACATAACATGTTGTGCACACGCACACACTTCAGTGAAACTAGAATCTCCCAGAATGAAGCAGAGACATTAGCATCTCTGAAAGCTTTCCAGTGTTGGTGTAGACCAAGTCACTCATTTACCCCTGTCTTTCACAGCACTGCTCTCCAGATGACACACTTTATATTTGCATGCTATGCTTTATGTGTTCAAAATAATTTCTATGATAGTGTTTTCTATGTTTCAAAATTACTGGGAATAAATTTCAAATGTCCTCACCCACTGGGTTCTTTAGCCATTCTACACTGCATAGCTATGTGGCCACTCACCACATCCTATAAATATGTGCCACAATTGCTAGTCCAGTTAGAAGAAAGCAGAAAGCAGAAAATTAAAAAGTTACTGTATGGCTTAAGTAAAGCATGTTAGTCTTTAACCTAAAAAAAAAAAAAAAAAAAATCAAAAACTTAAACAAAAAAAACTGTATTCAGATGTTTAGATTTTCATAGCAAAGTACAAGTTTGATTTGGTAAATAATGTATTCTTGAAGAACTAGAATTTATCTTCATATTTTTATCAAAGAGGTTTGTAAGACAGTTGTATACCTAAAAGTGCATCTTTGCAGGCAGATATCAGAAGTCCCTGGTTCTCATAAGATTCTAGAAACTGAGTGAATGCAACAGAGGGATCAAAATATTTAAAGATTAAATGTAACAAAATCAAGGCTTTTAAAAAATGACTAGATCTCACAAGAGAAGGCACATAAAACACTGGCAAAGCAGCTTCTGGAAATTTACATTATCAGTGTCCTATTGTTCTCTACTTCAAAGTAAACCCTCTAGGGACACTCACTTCGCCAAGCCGGGGCTGCGTGAAACTGTGCCACTCGGAGTAAGTGTATCTGCAGTTGTCCACCTCCACGTGTCCTCCTCTGCAGGGATCCAGGGTGTGGTGATGGCCGGCCACGCGGCAGGAGTCCAACGTCTGGTGTCCTTTCATCTCAAAGTTCTCCTGCCCACCGTTTCTCATTCCCGATCCCATTGTGCCACAGAAGCCTTGGCTGGAGTTGTTGGCAGTCTGGGTGGTGAATCCGTTGGCAGAGCACTTCATTGTAATAAAACAAGACAACAGTGGTGGGGGGGGGGAGGTGTCAAAGAATGTCACACGTTGCAGAAAGCAGTCAGGGTGATTACTGTTGTAATCATTCCCAACATAGACTAAGTTTGAATTAAGACTACCAAAGAGTGGAAAAATAGAACTGCAAGGTAAACTTGAAGTTCAGTAAGTAGCACTCCACGAGGGCTGGGACACTGAAAGTCCCAAGTCGACTTACAATTTACAAGATTCCAACTACTTACAAATATAAATTGACTCCTAAATAACTTCACAGGGACGAATTGTAAAACTATAGGAATATTTGTTCACCAAGGAAGTGACTTACCACCCGGTCATCTCCAGGAGCCTCAGTGTTGGATATGATTAAGTTTTGCTGTGCTAAGTCTTCAGGAAAATGTTTTCCTTTCCGGGCAGTGACAACGCTGCATACTAAAGTCAGCAGTACCGCTAAGGAAAAATAGAAGAAGAAATAAAGTTTTAAAAGGACATACTTCATTTGCCCTCCATACAAAAATAACCATTCTTTATTGCTTATGACTTGGGCCACCAGGAAACAATGAGAATATTAACTCTGACTTTGATCAAATTATCCTGGTCTTAATAAATCCACAGGCACAGTCTGAAATGTGCAATAATCACATGGGATTGTGTTTAGAATCATGAGTTCAACTGTAGATCTTAAAAGTCTTGGGGCAGGGGGGCAAATAAAAAGTGCCTAACATTTATTTAAGTCAAGCACTAAAGATATTTACTGATTCCCAAAATATCAGTTTTTCAATTGGAAAAATTAAAAAAAACTTTTTCTCAGAACAGATTTGTCTCCAATAAACATAACTGAACATATCTTGTATCTTACTTAGAATTTTATCCTACATGGTAATAATAGAAGACTTAGAATAATATGACCACTAAATCAACAGTAATAGCCGTGATTTGCAGTGGTTCAGAAGACCTGCTAGCACATTGTCAAGTCAAGGCTACAATTCCAGCTCACTGTATGTTTTAGTATAACCCATGACCTAAGATTTTTAAGCCTTTAAGTTATTGAAAGAGAAAACAACAAAAACAGGAATAATTCATGATATTAAAATTATAGAACCTGAGCACAGTGGTAGTTGGTAGTTGTCTTTAATCCCAGAACTCAGGAGGCAGAGGCAGACAGATCTTTGTGAGTTCAAGACCAATCTAGTCTACATAGTGAGTTCCAGGGCAGGTAGGGCTTCAGAGTGAGACCCTGTCTCAAAAGCAAACAAAACAGCAACAAAAATCAAACCAAAAGAAAAATGCAAATACTAAAATTACAAGAAATTCAAATTTTAGCCTTCAGATTTGAAGTGCTGAGGGAACACAGCTGTGCCATTCACTCGCACACTCTGAGCAACGGCCTTGCTATTACAGATATCACAGATGTCAGCTGGCCCAGATAGCTCTGAGAAGTATACCATTGTCCCTTGAAAGGACGGCTGTGCCTCCCTTCCCCTCTCCATGCTACCTCTGGCTGCGTTTTCTGATTCCCTTGACCTCATCTACTTCTGTCTAGACAGAGGAGTCTCCACGCCATTGTTTAACTTCTCTAAACATAACCTCACCATACAGCCTTTGACTTGACGCTTGCCTCCAACTGAATTCTCCCTACTGACTCCCCAAAATCATGCCATGTAGGCATGACCTAGTGATCTACCGTCTTGAAACGTGTGGCCACCAGGACCAATGACGTCAAACATACACAGCAGCATGAATGAGTCCACTTACTGGATTCCAACTTTTTCCTCCTGTCAAAAATAATTTTTTGGTGATTGTTACATTTTTTGGTTTCATTTTGTCATTTGTTTTTGTCTGTTTTGCTCTGCAATGAATCCTACCTAGTACTATTTTCTGAAATTTAGTAGTCTTTCAAGATACAGTTATTTCAGTGGGTCAATAAAGATAATAAAATGTATGTTCAAAATTTAGAATGATATAATCTAACAATTTCATATGAATTAGCTCAATCAACTATTAACTGAGTTAGAGTAAGTTACTACCACTGTCCCTTTAAATGAGATAAGGGAAGCAGAATTAAGCAAACTAAAGACTGTTTAACAGTCTGTCCGAGTGTGAAACCTATCTCAGAAAGGATCACATTCCTTCAAATGGTGACTACCCAGACACAACTTAGTTACCCCAGAATGCAGATGCAACTTGTAAAAAGAACTCACTCAAGGGATGTTTGTCTGTATTTACTTCTCAAGATTGTCTTCGATACTCAGATCTTTTATTTTGTATTTTAACTTCAAGTGGGTAAAAGTACTTACAAAACAGCAGTGCGATGCCCAGCAGAATGGCAAGGATGGCCCACTTCCCCAAGGAGACCCCTACACTCCTTGACCTGGCCGTACACTGGTTGGGATGAGTGCAATCACACAGGTTAACTCGCAAGACTTTGGTTGTGGATTGGCCTGCTCTGTCTTGTACAGTGACGGGAACGGCGTATTCTTGAATTTCAGCATTTTTCCGATAGGACAAGCGGGCGGCCGTATCTTTAAGAAAATAAAAAGACTTCACTTTGATTGATTGATTTCCGGTGGAGAGTTGTACACATATGTGTGCTCACATTTCGAGATCCCATAAGAACCTCAGGTATTCCCCAGGAACCGACCACCTTGAGTTTTGAGTTAGGCACTTCCATTGCCGAGCACGTGCAGGTTAAGCTAGGCTTGCTGGCAACCACACCTGGGGATTCCCCTGTCTCCTCCCCAGCACCAGGACTAGGATTGCAAACAGGTACTGCCCTACCCTGATTGTTCATGTGGGTTCTGGGGACTGAATTGGGTCCTCATGCTTGCATGACAGTCATTTTACAGACTGAACTCTCGCTAGTCCAGAGTTATTTTTAATGATGACTTATTCTTCCCTTAGAATCTGTTCCGCCATTCTTATTGTAAAATACCCACCTGCCAAATTAAAAATAAATGCAAAGGAGGCTGCCTCAATGCCTTTACCCTTAAAAGAACTAATATTACATTAGGCATATTTCTCCTTGTAATTCTATTAAAGAAAGCCTTAATGAATTTTTTTTTTTTAGATCCAGGTAAGAAACGCACACCTGAATTCCTAGCGTGTGAAACTAAGGAGGCCAAAAGAGGACAATGAATTTGAGGCTACCCCAAGCTATATAGTAAGATCCTATGTCAAAAGGCAAAAGTAATAATAAAATTTGGCAATAACAATCAGGAATAGAATGTTGATCTAACAACATTCCAGGAATAATTTCCCCTGATCGATACAGGATAAGAATAATAGGGTTGGCTCTTAATGTAGAGGGTCAAATTTTTTCCCCAATTCCAGCTCATACGCTATTTAAGAATCTATACCTGAAGACACACAGAGAACATTATCAGTTTTCACACTCTAAGCCATTTACCTTCTGTTGTCTGTCCATGAATCCTCTGGAAAAGGCAATGTTTTGAAGACTGTAGCACTTCCTATATGATTAATGCCTTGTGTGAAAATAATCTCCCTACCAGAGCTAATTACACTACTTTCTCCTATAAGAACATAATCATTTGCATCATGATACTTTGTTTTTATCAACTATGATAGTCAACATCCCACAATTGTCTTGATAGATTATTTGAATAATGTTATTCTTAATTAACCAAAGCTCTGTATCTGTTTAGTGGCAATTATAACATCCTTGGGCTTTTATAATAGACAAAAACGATGTCACAGTGGCATAAAACATAGCCCAGGAAGCACCTGGAATTTCTACAGGTTAAATGTCTGTTAGAACTTTGGGATTCGGGCTATACCTTGGACCTGAATGCTTGCTAGAGGACTGCCGATGGGTCTTGGATTATATTGGAACCCTTCAGCATCAGCAGTGTCCAAGGAAAGATGGGGCAATCACTGACCTTTTCCACGACCACTGGCTAACCATAGCTACATCATACATGACAGTAGTTCAACAACCTTGTGTTTTCCTTATCAATCAGCTCTGCCCCCTTCTAACCATCTCCTGACACTGCTGTCATCTGTATAAGACGTACATCTGGACAAAGAATGACCTTCTTTCCACAGGCCCAATGCATACTCCACTGTCACCGACCATACAAATATCAGTCTCCTCCGCTTGGGACACCACCTAACTTCGCCCTTCCTTACACACAAACTCTCAACATTCCTGAGAAAGTCTTCTAGACCCAGATACTACCAAATTACTCATTTCCCTATTGTGATTTTTTTTTGCCTATATGCATTTTTTTAAATCAAAACATCGCCTAAGTAAACACTTTTTAAGTAGTTATTACCTGCTAGGCACTGGGCTCAGTGCTGAAAGTGAGAATGTGGATTACGATCGCTGTGAGAAAGGAGAGTTGTATGACAGCAGTCATACAAGTATGAGGTGTCATAACACATGATACAACAGGTCCCAGGGCCCTCCTTATAGTTCTGAGGTGAGTTCTCAGAGGTCGAGCATCTGAGTTGAGGTAGTGCCTGCCTGACTCATCCCTATGCAAACACTCATGGTTTGCAGCTTCTCTGCCTAATAGTAAGTAATGCGTTCAGTTTTGTTAGTATGAAACTAAGACACAGTGAAGGTGATTTTTCTAGGTAGAAAGGACAGCATACATAAAGCTTAGTAGCATAAAAAAATATGGCATCAGAAGCTGGAGAGATAGCTCCGTGGTTGAGAAACTTACTGCTTTTCCTGAGGGCCAGAGTTGAGTTCCCAGCACTTATGTTGGGCAGCTCACAACTTCCTGTAACTCGAGCTACCGGGAATCTGACACTATGACACCCTCTTTTGGCCTCTATTGATATGCACACGCATGGTGTGTGCATGCATGTGCATACATACTCAGACACATACACACAGGCACTGCAGAGAGAGATGCATACACACATACATACACTTATACATACACACACAGGCACATGCATTGGAAAAGGCTATTTACTATCCTAAAACTTTTGCATTGTACTTCGTGTTAATTAATATGCAACCCCTGCAGCAGTTAATCTGCTACATCAAATCATACGAAGCATTATTTTTCTGGAATACCATTAACTGGGTTGAGGGTCCAGATTCTGTTGACTTCGGGAGAAGAGCTTGCCAAGTTGAACTGAAAGGGAGGGCCGTGGACAGGCTCATCAGGATCGACAGCTGAAATGTCCGTATACCCCATCTTTGGCTTGCAGATGACAAGATAATCTTGAAGTATTTCTGGAGCGTTGTCGTTCACATCCTCAATGTTCACTGCGAGTGTCCCTGTGCACGATTTACCCTCTAGGAAGGGAAAGGGGCAAGGCTGAGTGCAGTTCTCATGGTCTTGTTTTAGAGTCTCCGATGAGGAAAATAAATCTCAGTATCTTCTCTACTTTTATTTTATTTTATTTATATTTTTGTTTTTTAGAGACAGGGTTTCCCTGTGTAGCTTTGGGGCCCATCCTGGAACTTGCTCTGTAAACCAAGATGGCCTCAAACTTACAGAGATCTGCCTGTCTCTGCCTCCCGAGTGCCACCACAGTCTGGCTCAATCTATCTGTCTGTCTGTCTATCTATCTATCTATCTATCTATCTATCTATCTATCTATCTATCTTTCTAATTTTAAGTCTTGGTCCTATAAATGAGACAAAACATGTGTCATGTGTCTTTCTGAGTCTAGCTTGTTTCTCTTAACATGATTTCCAGTTTTGTCCATTACCTGCAAATGTCTCTACTTCATTTTTCTTTACAGAGACATGAAATCCAACTTTGTGTATTACCGTGTTTTCTTTATCTATTTTTCCTTGATGGCCATCTAAACTGTTTCTATTTCCCTATTACTGTGTAACAGTGAACATGGATACATGGGTTGCTTTGTGGTATGTTGACTTAGAGTCCTGTGGGTATATACTCATGAGTGGTACAACCTGAATCTATTTTTCCTGGAAACATAATCTTTGGTTATTAGGTGAACAGCAAATAAGAATACAAATGAATTAAAGCTAAGATTAATTAGCTTCCTGCTGCTGATAATATCAGATACAAGTTTCAACAAACATTTTTGCCTAAGTTATACAAATAATAGAAACAAATGCTGAATTGCAAGTTCTCTTTCCTTGGGTTTATGCATATTAATGAGCCATGATGAAGTGGTTACAGAAATCTTATTCTAATCCCAGGACACGTTCAGACACGTAGGGAGGTTTTAGTACCTTACATCCAGGGTTTACAACCAAAGATTGTATTTCAAAGAGTACAAGGTAACATCTACTTATTGAAATTATTGTTATTTAAATTAAAGCCACAGATATAGAAACTTTACTTTAAAACCAGAATTCAAGTTTAGAAGCATTTAGCAATCACCTGAATGAGTAAAAACCTCTAGGTAACGTGGCACAAAGCTGTGTGGAGGAGTCAGAGGAGACAACTGCAGTCTCTAAGGTTAGATTTGATCATTGCCCTCTACCACAAAGCTGTGCAAGAGCTAAGTTCCTGCAGATGGAATATAAGGATAAATAAGAGATGTGCTATTTAATTGAGGATGATGGCTCGCACTTTATGAACCAGCACAGAATAAGCTACGGAGGAGAACTGCCACAACTTCAAGACCAGCCTGCGTTTCACAGTGGGCTTGAGGCCATCTTGGGCTACAGAGTAAGATTAAGTCAACAACAATAGCATCTTTCTGAGTGTAGGCTGCAAGTCTGAAATCATACCATTCAGGATGCTAAGGCAGGAAATCGGGAAAAATAAAAGTCATCCTTGGTTACACTGTGAATTCAAAAGCAGCTTTGGTTACATAATATCTTCTTATCAGAAACCAAACCAAACAAACAAAACCAGAAATAAATGGTATCTTCTTACCAGAGTCATACCATAGAACAAGAAGAGAGCTTCCACAAAGTAATTTTCAAGAATTATGCATAGTTACCACAATTTTAACTCTGCACAAGAATAATTACAACTTATTCTTCCATTCTATTATAAAATACTAAATTAAATCTTTGTTACCTTGGTCTATTGCCATGACTGTAATATTATACAAATCATTTCTTGGAGCCATGGATTCTCTGTCTAGGGCTTTTGATATTGTCAGCAGACCCGAAACTTCTTCAATGCTGACCCATTCTTTAGGATCTTGCAATTTTTTGTATCTGTTAATAAAATGAAATTTTATAAGTCTTTGGCATCAGAATACATCTCAAAATAAGCCCCTAGTTTCAATTACAAAAACTGCATTAACCCATGGCTGCTAGATTTATATACCTTAAGCCATTGCTGTTCTTGGTTTCAGGATCATAGGCCTTATAGCCACTGATCCTGGACCCCACGGCAGAGTTTTCTTTGATCCGTACATATTGTTCAGGGGGCTTGCATTCTGGCCCCTCATCCTGGTCTCTCACATGAACTGTAACCAAGGCCCGGTTCATGGTGGGCACTCGGCTTGCAACGTCTCTGATAAATGGAACTTCGTTGTTCACTCCGATCTCTAGGGTCACCTGACGATTTTCTTCATAATCCAGGGGCTTTAAAATAAAGGACATGCGTGTCAGCTCCGTGTGGAGAACATTGGTACTGCAAGCAGCTGGACACTGCTATCATTATGGCCAGGACTGCATAACAAATTCACACTCACATTTTGTTAACAGTGACTTTCCTTCCTTGCTAGACCTGTGATCCTGGGCTAGCTGCCCTTTACCAAGGGTCACCTCCAAAGTCTCCACAGATGGATTTACAGAGCCATGGCGAAGAAATTCCTCCACTTTTCTTTCACTCTTTTAAGGAAACTTATTCTCAGCCAGGAAGTATTGCAGAATTATGTGAAAGTCTAACAAGCTGAGATTAGGGCTATCTGACCCTGGAATTTGACAAACCTTGTAAAATCATATAGTAACTTCAACAAATCCCAAAAGGTGAAAATACTTTATTTACTTTCTGACTGGCGGATATTCTAAATATCTGTTTTCTTTTTGTGAGGTTCTGGGAATCTGGTCGGTTTGTTTCAGTTGCTCTTTGCTTATTTTCATCTGTGTTATTAAAATCGAGTCTCACTCTGCAGCCCAGGGCAGCCTTGGAACTCACTGCATTGCCCAACCAGCTGGCCTAAACCTGCAGTGATGATCCTTTCTCCGTCTTGAAAGCTCAGGGATACTGGTGTGTGTGCCCTCACTCAGTTTCCAATATCTGTTTCAAGTCCGTTCATACAAGAGATCAAATGGAGCCATCTCTACGCTTACACAAGACGTCTAATTGAGCCATCCCTAGTCTGTCTTTTCTTTAAGCGAAATGTACCCAGGATCTCATTTCTTCTTAGGAATCCACTTCAGTTTGTGAAGATTCCTTCCAGAATGACGCAACACTACCTCCTGTTATAAAAAGGATGCTCGTGACAGTTTAAGAATAGTACTTTATCTCTGCCTCTCACTTATCACAAGTACTTCTCATAACAGAAATGCAGAAGACTATCAACATGACAAGCTCCATGGTGATCACCGCTCACATGCAACCCGGCTTTAAGCAGGCGGTGTAAATTCAGAGTCCTCACACCTGGGCGCAACATGAATTCCTATTACCCCATTCCTGTTCAGCGGAAGTTTACAGTAGCAATCTGGAGAATAGGAAGAGAAACAGGTCTTCCTAAAGTCAAAAGATTTCATTTGGGCAAGAGTTTGAAGCCAGGAGGCTTGGCCTCGGGCCATTTCCTTAATGGGCACATTTTAATCTCCCTTACATAACTAAATTAATTAATTTAGTTCATCAGCCTCCAGAAATATTTTAATCAGTTCCTTGGTTATAAGTGTTTTTTAGACAGAAAAAAATCCAACAAAATCCATAAAATACTATTTTCCATTTTACTATGAAGGAAATCACAAGAAGTTTTCTCTGACTGTGTCTTTCTACTGATGAAAATGACGGCTTGCTGAATGTTAAACAAATCAAAACATACACATGAAAGACTAGAGAGATGGCTTGCTGTTTCCGAGTGCTTCCTGCTGTCCCAGAGGATCAGCATCCTTGACAGGCAACTCACAGCTAACCACCTATGATTATAGTTTCAGGGGAATATATATATATATATATATATATATATATATATATATATATA